GTTTTTTCTATGTTATAAGTCATGTTTTCACTTTTTGAAAATCATATTTTCACACAGGATCACTCTGAGGATGAAATGAAGTAGTCAAAGCAACCCATTTCAAGCCTGTGCCCAATAATAATAGTCATTTTGTTAGGGGGCAAGGATGTGCCTGAATGAACTCTACAGATACAGGTTTCATGGACTCCACCTCCACCCCAGACACCAGAACTCCAAATCCCAGCAACACCAAAGAGCAGCAAACTCCACCTGAGGGTGGAGTTAAGCAGCCAGGTTTGGGTATAAAACCAGACATGTGGGCTTTGTGGGGGGGCTCTCGGCCTTGTGGCTCACGGCTTAAGAACCTTTCTATTAAAAATCTAACATGTTTTGGCCCTCCCTGGTGGCGCAGCGGGTTGAAGCACAGCACTGAGAATCTGAGGCCACTTCCGCACGAGTTCGATTCCCGCCTGCCGCCTGCCCCGGAGGAGACCACATGGCGTGGCAGACCTCTCCTGACCCGCCCGCTGCTCCCCTCAGCAGTGTACTTCGTCGATCTGCCTGTTCTGCTCCCCACTCTGTCTCTGGTGAAGCCTCTCACCGCCCCTGAGCCTCTGGCCTGTACCCCAGTTCTGTATGAATAAATAAATAAATCTTAAAAAAAAAAAAAAAATCTAACATGTTTTGTCTTGATGCTGCGGTGGTAGAAACTATTTAGAGCAGGTAGGTTGGAGGCTCGGGGGTCCCTCCTCTCCCTGCCCTGTAACAATTTTGCTGTTCTGAGTGGGCTCCTTCAGGAATGGTGATGTCCACGAGGCCTCCTTTAATTCAGTCAGGGAGTGGGGTTCCTTCAGAGCTCAGGGGAAAGTGGGTCTTAGAGAGGCAGAGCTGACTTTATGGGTCTTGCTCTGGGCTGGGGTTCTGGTTTTGGCTCTCAGCTGCCTTGGCATCTTGGTGCCCTCCCTGTGGACCCGTTGGGGTCTGTCGATTCCATCTTCCTGCTTCTCTGGGAAGCTGGACCTTTGACCTTGTCCCCAGCCTCTACTCCCTTGGGAAAATTCTGAGGTGTGCTCTCACTGGGCACCACGCTTTCCAGCCTAAGATCAGCTTTTCTCGTAGGCAAGCAGAAGCCTGCCTAGGGCTAGGCGGGGTGTGCTGAGTGTCCCTTCAGGCCTGGGCAGGCAGCTACCAGCAGGAGGTAGTAGGAGGATAGTGAGGGGCCGAGACCTGTGCCGCTGCTCAGGGAAGCAGAGATGGGCATTGCCCTCTCTCTGCTGGGGCCCAGGAAGCCATCCCAGCATCCCAGCAGAGGGTCCAGCCTATCCACCCAGCCGCTGGGCCTGCACAGGGCCTAACCCATTCTGTGCCTGGGTTCACTGTGGCCTGGGGATTCCTCTGCACCACAGACCCGCCTCTCCCACCTAGCTGACTTCAAGCCCCCTGTCTGCCCACTGCAAGGCCACAGAGCTGCCAGAACATTGGTGCTGGAGGCTTTTCTTGCCACCCTGTGGTCACTGGGCTCCTAAGGAACTCCTTGCCCTTGGGGTCTCAGTTTCCTCCTCTCTCTTAAGAAGGACCCCCGTTTTTCCTGCTAAGTCAGAGGAGTATCCCAGCTCCTGACTTTGCCTTAGGAAATCTGGGAGTGGAGGAGATGAGGAGCAGGGAAAAGGCCCTGGCAGGGACACCCAGGCCTTGCGGGGAGCCCAAAATGGGTGTCAGGGTTTGCCACCCACTATCGGGGGGTGCTGCTGCCCCCAACTCTGTTTGTGCACTAGGCAATCATAGGAAGCCTTTCTTGCCCCCCAAGTACCCCACCCCAGTCAATCTGGCATCCCCCAAAGTGGGAAGCTTCTCCCACACCACGAGCAGCCTTGCAAATCTAGTCGCTGGGTGGACACGGCTCCTGTGCCTTGACTTGTGTGAAGGGGGACTCGCTGGGTGCCTCGCTGTCCCCAGCCTGCTCCCCCAGCGCTGCCTGTCCTGGTAAGTGATACAGCCTGCTGCTCAGTCACCCAGTCCAAAACCCGTGTCACCCTGGCTTTCTTCCCCCACCACATCTCCATCTCTGCATCTAGCAGTCATCAAGTCCCCTGCAGTTTTCTCCTAAATGTCTGTTCCCTTCACCCCAGATCCAGCTACCATGGCCAGGGCCTGGGGCCCGTCTCCCCCATTTTCTGCCAGGTGACTCCAGGGTCCTCATTAGTCCTTTCCGTGCTACCCACCCAGATGGCCGCTCCTACCCACACTCGTGGGGCTTCTAAACCTCTATACCCCCTCCTGCCTTTGCCTCCAGCCCTTGGCCCAAGCAGTTCCCTCAGCTGCCCGGCTTTTTTCCATGCCCATCATCCAGGACTCCCTATTTCATCATCAGGGCTCAGGGCCAATGAAAATGTGGGGCTCCTCCTTCAAACAGTAGGAAGTACGTGCCAATCAGGGGACTAAAACATAAAGCTTTGCCTTCCTCCCTCAGTCCCTTTGTCCACCACCTGTCCAGGTGTCTGATGGTGCCAGTGTATGTGCAGGGCCAGTGACGGCCCTCATGGTGACTTCCCTTCCGCCTGTGATGGCGTGTATGCACAGCCCCCTGAACGTCCCCCCACACCCCACCTGGCAGGCAGATGTCAGGTGCCCTGGCCAGAGATATCAAATGCCCTTCACACAGGCCTCTGCTGGGACCCCAGGGACAGGTAACACCCCCAAAGAAGCACCAGGACCCATGCAGGGGCTGGACCAGATGCCCAACCCTGCAGTCACCCACTGCATCAGCCCAGAGTGGGAGCAGACACCTCTGTGCACTCCCTGAGATGCCAAAGAGCCTGTGACCCTCCCAGGTCTCTCCTGGGTGGCCAGGGGGCCAGAGATGAGTGGAGAGCCAGGTCTTTGAGGAAGAGGTGGGGGGAGGTATGTGTCAGAGCTTTTACTGTGTAAACCCCATTGGACTTCACCCCAAAACATGGAGTCACAGATGAAATGACACCAACCACAGAGTGTTAGCCCCCACCTCAGCTGCACAGTGCACCCCTCCCCCAGAAGCTGGCCCTGCCCCCACCCCTCAGCTCTCAGTTCTACACCCCACCCTCCCGAGGCCTCCCTGACCCCAGCGTCCCTCCAGTAAGTATCAGAGTGCCTCCAACCGCTCACATTTCCATTTCTGTTTAAGTACTGCTTTCACTGGTGTCGTTGTAATTACTTATTCCATTGATTTAATTAAACGTTGTGAAGATAGGAATTACACCTATCTGGGTCACAAGTTTATCCCCCGTATTGCCAACGCTATAATAGGCACCAAGTGCACATTTGTTAAATGAATGTGAAAGGTAATGAAGAATTGGTCTCTGGGCTTCCATTCATAAAAACTCAGGGCTAATTTGGACACCCAGAAAGTCCATAACTTCAGGTCAGGTGCCTCCAGACAGCCAGTGATGTGGGCGAGAGGTAAGCTCTAATCTCACTTTCACCTGCTCTGACGCCTCCCCCTGCCTTCTGCCTGGGCTTTGTGGTGATGACATGTAATGGAGCAGGGGAGTGAGGAGACCACTGCTAGCAGCTGCCCATGTGCCCCCCACCCTTCACCGTAGGGGACCCCTCACTGGCACTACTATCCCATTCCATCCTGTCTTTCAAGGCCCCATTTGCTGCTTTGGAAGGGTTTCTGCTCAGCTTGTCCTCTTCCAGAGAACTCATCCTCCTGTTTCTATGAGCTCTAAACCTTATCCAAGATCTTTCACACAAGCCCACAAGAGAAAAGAAAGCAATTTTGATGGCAGCCATTTTGTTTCAAGATGAAAGACTCATCCCCAATTTCATGCCTGGGGAGGACAGAGCTCCTTTCTCAATCAATTCCTTAAGTGCTTGAAATGGAACCAAGGTCTAGACATATGAAATCCTGAGAGTCCTCCCAGCTTCAGGAACACAGAACACCAGACTTGTCTCTGGGAAGACCCCGAGCTCTGGAAACGCTTTCCTCGCTAACCCGGCTCTGCCCGTACTCAGTCCCACTCTCCTTCCACACGTGGGAGTGTAGAGTTGTTTTCAGAATAGAGCCAAGCACATACTTGGAATCCCAGCTTCTTACCAACTCAAGATAGATCCCCATGGAAACCAGCAGAAAGGAAAGGCAGAGATAAATATCTTTCTGTCAGGCCCGGATACCCACTAATCAGCCTCCTGCCTCCCCGCCTGCTGTAACAGTGAAGAGAAATTCCTGTTGAAATGGTGGCGCCATTGTTCGGTCCCCTCGGGGGTCTGGGCAGTAAATGCCAGAAACCACAGTTCCTGAAGGGGCTTCCCCACCGGCCTCACAACCGTTACAAGGTCAGATCAGAGAGAACTGTGTTTTCGACACTATGACAAAAACAGGAGGTAGGGAGACCTTGGGCAGGGCACCCAAATCTTCTGAGCCTCAGTCTCCTGCGCTTATAATGGGTTTGATGAAAGTACTTTTCTCCCATCGAAGCTGAATACGATAATGATGTGAAAGCTTTAGCATCCAGTAAACATGTATAGCCGTCAGCTGGCTTATCATCTAGCTCTTGGGTAAATCAGTCCTTTGAGCTCCTCAGGTCTCAGCTCTCTCACCTATACAGCAGAAGAGGAGATGGGACAGCCTGATTCTAGAAAGTTCCTTCAGTTCTGGCATTCTACACTTCTGTGTCCCTGTAACTGGTTGGGGGCTGAGGTGAATTGTCTCTGGCCAGCAAGCTCAGTAGAAGCATGTTCCTTCTGCATTATATCTAGGGAAGGGAAATTGGCATTCAGTTTTCATCACTGGCTGGCTGACCTTACTAGGTACCTCAGTCTCCCCATTTGTCCAATAATGGCAGGAATCCAGAAAGAGCAGCTTTACTCTGCAATGCCCATTGAGCCACTCAGCTAGGCCAGCAGGTGGTTCGGAAGGTGGGGACTGTATCTCCAGGGGGTGGATGCACCACCCTCATCCACCACCAGGAGTCCACCAAAGTGGGTGGGTGGCCCCAGCCTGGGGCTGCAGGCCGACAAGAGAGGGCTGGAGCTTATCTTACCAGGCCGAGGTTCAAGGTGTTGTTGTCGTCCTCTGGCATGGGCAGGTACACAGCTAGGGCCACGCAGTTGGCAAAGATGGTGAGCAAGATGATGGTCTCGAAGGGTCTGGAGCCAGGGTTAAGGAGAGCCCTGAGGCCACCTGGGATTTGCAGGGGTGAGGGGAAGAGAGCGCCGAGGGTCAGTCAGGACGATGAGCATCATGCCAAGCTGACAGGCTCAGGCAGTGCAGTCCTTGTTCTCCTGCAGATAGAGAAAGGGCCACTCCCAACTGGGGCCCTGGCTCCCCATCACCACAGTAGGAGGGCCTGTGGTGCTCTGGCTCCAGGCTGAGGGCTATTCTAAGTCCCACAGCCCACCCCTCCCATGGAGCCATGACTTTCTGAGATCCTCACCAGATAGTCTATGGGGGGACTGACTCAGAGAGATGGCAAGGGGGGGCTCAGAGAGATGTGGGGGAGGATTCAGGCTCAGAGCCCATAGCACAGGATCAGAAAGGGAGCGGAGAGATGGAACCAGAATCTCTGAGCCCAAGGAAGCAATGGATAGGAGATGGACCAGCGCCCCCAGAGCCCTGCACACACACTGGGGTACACACCTCAAACACTTCCCCCGGTGGGCCCACTTTCCAGAGAACACGTAGGCCCATTCTTTTCCCAGTTTGCTGGTGAGAAGCACAGACCAACCAGAGGACATGGGAACCATGTGGACAGAGTTGAGGAGAAGAAAGGGGGGAGGATGTGACTTGTTTGAGAGGTTATGGGGGTAGGATGGGGTGGGGTGGGGTAGATGGGGTGACAGGCATATTAAGATGGGTTTGGTTGAAGCCTCCTATAACCTCTAGTGTGTGGGAGAGGAAGGGGCCATGGGGACAGGGGCTGGAGGAAAAAGCCCCAAGGAGCCAGAGTGGAGAAGGGAGAACCCACCAACCTTCCAGGTCAGCTTGCTGCCCAGACGGGCAGGTGGAAGGTCAACAGGAGGCCGGAAGTGGCCGAGTGCAGCTGTGGGGACCAGACTGACCACCTACTCAAACCATCTCAGCCTGGCCCATGGTTTTTCGGTTTTGCTTTTCATCTTCCCATTATCTCTCATTCTCTTTTCTTCCAGAACAGCTGGTGGGAGCTGTTCCTAGACTTCCAGAACCCTTCAGAAATATTCCAAATATTCCCTACCCACTTGACATAGGCCTCCCCTCCTCTCTATAGCTCCTTCCTCCCTCCCCCAAATAACCCACATATTTTCATCATTCTTCCTCCCAGAGCTGAGCAAACATAGAAAGGGATCAAGTCTCTGTCCCCTGGGTGGTGAGTCTGAGCTAAAATAGCCAGTCCTGCTTGGCCTGGGCCTTGCAACAATTCACCCCTTTCTGGCTATTTCTCCCCCAGCTCCATCCCCAGCTGGGATTTTCCCAAGTGGAAGCCTTCCTTAGCTCTACCTTCCTCTTCACTTTCACCCCAACAATCAAGGGGAGTGGATTTCCTCACAGAGACCATCCCCACCCCCATCCTATTCCAAAATGAAGCTGTTTCGAAATCTTGAGGGGCCCTATGATACTGTGGATTTGGGTCCACATTATTGGCTGGGAGCAGCCTCACCAGAAACCCCGCTAGTTCCTCCTCTAGTTCCTCCTCGTCCCCCTACAGGGGAAAGGGCTTCTTTATGCCATTCTGTGGCAGCTCACCTCCCTCACCCACTCTCCTGGTGCCCAGAATTTGTGGCTGTGACACCCCTGCCTCCCTCTCCCACATCACGCATGCCGCCCCATGCAGCGAGGGTCCTAAAGGATACTTCCATTCCACGATGCTGATGCAGGCCTTCCTCACCGGGTTCTGCAAGGTGAGGCAGAACAAGGCCCGGGGTGGCCTGGGCAGGATCTCAGGAACGGGCTTCTTGGGCTGTTTCTTCCTCAGGCCCTCATCCTGGGGTGAGGATGGCTCCATGGCTTCCCTGGCAGCCTCGCTCTCTCCCGCTCCCCCACCCCACTGCCCTCTCCTCCCTGCGTCCCCAGTGCCTGGTCTTGGGGACTGGGCCTTCTGAGCCCTGCTGAGCCAGCCAGTGGGCGGGGGCAGGAGGATTACTCTCCCTGCTCCCAGCGAGTAAAATTAGCCTGCCTGGGCTCCCCGCTGCCCAGCCAGAGCTCTCAGGCCAGACAGCTGTCATTCCTCCCCAGTCCAGCCAGTGACGTCCCAATATGTCCCCATGAGATGGGGTGGGGGGTGGGGGCAGAAGGAACTCACACAGGCCTGGGATGGGGCAGGGGAGACGGGGAAGGTTTCAGGACTGGGGCCGCAGAGTTGGGGAATCAGGTTGTTTATTACATGGTCCTCAAGCTTCAAGCTGAGTCTTTGTGCCAAAATTAGCTTTTGCCTCCCTAAACCCAGACACTGTCTTGAAGAGATGCAGAGTGTTGAACTCATCAGAACTTCACAGGGAACCCCCACCCAACTCAGTACCTGCAATTAATTGTAGGGCCAAACCCGCACCCCCCACCTCACCTACCCCATGCATACGCCAGAGAACAGCTGACAGCGCCACACTGGGATGAAAAATTCCAGAAGAGCCTGAATGTGCACACCTAGGCACAGCACTGTCACAAGGGGTCGTGAGTGGATGATTTGTGGGTTCTCCCCACCCCTGCGGCCCCCAACCTTGCTGAGCTGAGTGGTCTCTCTGGGACCCCTCCTCACACAGTCTCTGGCCCTGGCCAAGTTGCCTGTGGTGTTACTTGGATGTGTGATGTCTGATCTGACAGAGCACCTGGTAACAGCAGCAAGTGCTGAGGTAGAAATAGAAGAATAACTGGGCCACGGGCAGGTGAGGACATTGATGGAGGAATCACAAAGCTCAACAAATCTTTTGCAGACACACTGCCAGAACAGTCATGTGGTCTCAGCCCCCTGAAGGCTAGTCTCTGAAGAGAAAAACCACATCCTGGCCAGCCCAGAGCCAAATGGAGGAAAAGGCCACACTGGGGCTTAGGGAAGGGTGTGCGGGTGATGCCCACTACCAAGGAAGCCAGAGGGCATCCTACTGGACACCTTTCACCTCTTCTCAAGTCTGTGGGGTCTGTCTGGGCTGAGAGCAGGGTCATCCTCCCCCTCTGAGGGCCTTTCCCAGGGAGCAGGCTCTCAAAGAGAGAGTGGCCATCCTGTGGCCGGCAGAGGCATTGCACAACCCACTAGAGCCGGGCTTGCCCCTGGGGACTGCGGGACCCTGGCAGGGCCTGCAGCCAAGGAGGAGATGCCTGGCCACACTAGCAGTTGGGCACAAGTTGGAACTGGAGTTTCCAGTGGAGGAGGCAGAGGAGTGGGAGCCAGATGAGGGGAGGACAGTCCTGGTTGCCTTCCTGCAGCCCGGAGGCAGGGCAGAGCGCCGTGGTAGCTTCCCGGCCCGCCACCCTCGTCCCTGACACCTCTGCATCCTGGCTACCCGAGTATCCAATTTAATCTTAGGAAATCCAACAAGAAGATAAAATATTCCTACCATGCCACATAAAACTCGCCATTTCACATATTGTCTTTCATTCCCTTTCTGGAAAATTAGCAAGTGCCCATGGATGTTCTCCCAGAGGCACTTAGTCCAAGAGATGGAAGCTAGGCGTGGACATGCATCCACTCCAGGCAATTTCAAACCAAACCTTCAGCATCTTAGCACACTTTTCCTGGCATTATGAGTCCCGTCTTGAGAATACTTGTACCCCGGGCCCTCCGTGGTGGCGGGTGCAGAGGCTTCAGGCGCTGCACTCCAAAGCCAGCCACAGCCGCTCCAGCGCAAGTTGGACCCGCAGCCCCGCAGGTGACTCTCATGGGGCGGCTGTCTGGCCCTCTGCACCCCTCGGCAGTGTGCCAAAACCAACATTCTGGGCCCTCCCTGGTGGCGCAGTGGGTTCAGGTACAGCAGTAAGCAGCCGCAGCCACTTGGGCGTGAGTTCCATCCTGCCCCGGAGCGGACCCACATAGTGTGGCAGACCACCCCTGACCCACCCCATGCTCCCCTCAGCAGGGTTCTCTGTCGAACTTCCTGTTCTGCTCTCCACTCTGTCTTCAGTCAATCATCTCATCGCCCCTGCACCTCTGGCCTGTACCCCAGTTCTGTATGCATCAAGAAATAAATCTTTCAAAATAAATAAATTCTACCCTGACTATACTAGGACTGTGGTGTAGGTTCTAGAATACAAAGTACTGATGTCACAGGCTGGTCCCCAGGAAAAGGGGAGGTTCCAAAGGTTCCTCGTCCCACACAGAGGAGGGTGGTGCTGAGTGGGGAGGGAGGAGAAGCTGAACCGGAGACTGAGTGAGGAGGAAGGAAGCAGCTTGGAGAGCCAGAAGGAGACCTGAGGAAGCCACATGGAGCAAAGGCAGACATGTGAAGAACCGTGTTGATTTCTCGGCCCTGGACGGGGTGAAAGAGATGTGGGTGAGAGACCCGTGGCGAGGTCGACTATGGCACCGTTTTTCTTGATACGGATTGTGCTTTTTCTGTCCCAGACTTGTCTGACCCTCTTCTTCATGGGGCTTCCTCATCCTGCTCTCCATCTGGCCCTACATCTTGCTTCCTTCCTTTTCCTCAGATTCCCTCCTTTTCTCTCCTTGTCTCTGCTGGAACCTGGAGCTCCCCCTTTTCCTGGGGACCACCCTGTTACAGGGATAGGGAGAAGCAGCCCTCGTTTCTGGGTCCTGGCCTCGCTGAAACAGAAGCCGGTGAAAGACTGGTGGGGAAGTTTACAATAGCAGCTTTGATCTTGATTTTGACTTGGCTCTTTTCCTCCTGGACTTGTCTGGACAGGTCTGGACAGGCTTTAGACTTGTGGTGGGATGATGGGGCCTTGCCTGGACCATCCTTTTTGGGTGGGTGATTTCAGGGGTTTGATTTAACAAGTCTTTTCTGTATCATTCACCCATTGTATTGCCCTCTCCTTTCCATGAAAGCTCTTCTATGTTTTGTCTTGACGCAGCATTGGTGGAAATTATTTTGAGCCACTATGTTTGGGGGTTCTTTTGTGCCCCTCTCCCTGCCCTGTAACAGCCATCTGCGGTTCTTCAGCGTCATGGGGAATGTTGGCTTCCCCCTGGCCCGGGCTACCATAAGCACACATGTGGCTTCTGTTTCTCTAGCGTTTTTTCAAATATAGATGGGCTGTTAAAAAAATGCTGGCTTTGGCCCTCCCTGGTGGCGCAGTGGGTTAAAGCACAGCACAAAGAGGCTTGGGCCACTTCCTTATGAGTTCGATCCCCGCCTGCCCCGGAGGTGACCACATGGCATGGCGGACCTCTCCTGACCCGCCTTCTGCTCCCCTCAGCAGTGTACTTCGTGGATCTGCCTGTTCTGCTCCCCACTCTGTCTCTGGTGAATCTTCTCACCCTCTGCATCTCTGGCCTGTACCCCAGTTCTGTATGCATCAAGAAATAAATCTTTCAAAATAAATAAATAAATTCTACCCTGACTACACTAGGACTGTGGTGTAGGTTCCGTATGAATAAATAAATAAATCTTAAAAAAAAAAATGCTGGCTTTGCAGAAAGTGGTAGAGAAGTACCAGATGGTTTCACTCATAGCAGGAGTATAATGGACCAGGCGAGAAAATAATAAGAAGAATGAACAGCCATATACCAGAGACATTTTGTGGTGGTGGAGTGCGGAATGGGATCAAAAACGGGGGGTGGTGGTAGCTGGTGGTGGGGGGGAGGGAAGTGCACAGGACTATGGTGATGGCACACAGGTGACTCGGTGATGGAAAACCCACAGGGATTACAAATGAGATGAAAAAAAATGTACAAAATGATGTAAAAATAAACTATTATATTATTTAAAAAAAAAACAAAAAATAATTTTTGATACTCAAAAAAAAAAAGAAAGAAAAAGAAAAACAAAAACAAAAACAAAAAAACCGCTGGCTTTGACCTTGTAAAAACTCTTTGTGTGTATGTGAGCAATTCATTTGTTTGTAGTCACTTGCTAAGAAGCTTGGTTTTTGCACAAATTGTTTTGTGGAGCAGTTTAACTCAAAAGATGGAGGTAGTACTTGGGCCATGTGACCTGAAGCTAGTTGGCTGGCTTCTCTGAAACTTAGAAGTTTTTGTTCTTTTAGCTCCTCTGAACATTTTTGCTTCCTTTGTTAACTAAATTTAAGTTTGCTAGAAATTTAGACTCTGTGTGTGTGTGTGTATGAGAGAGAGAGAGAGAGAAAGACACTTTACAGGACTCTTTAGCCTTTTGAAATGCAATGCTGGTTTTTCAGTTGGCAGGCTGCTTTGACTTTGGTTTGACTTTGGTTTTTGTTGTTGTTGTTGTTGTTGTTGGTGTGTGTGTGTGTGTGTGTGTGTGGTTTTATTTTAATGTAAAGATCAGGTTTATTAGAGAAGGAATAGGTAGGTAAAAGGATGCTTGCATGGCCACAAGTGGGCAGGAAGATGTGCTGCCAGGCACATTTCAATGAGCAAGTGATTGCCTGGGTGCTAAGGAAAAAAGTAGCCTTGGGCAGAAACTGGTAATTGCTGGTAGCTTTTATGGATTCTTAGAGTTAACTTGAATCTTGTGATGCCTTTCTATTGCTTCCTCCATCAATCATGCCAAATATTATGGTATAAACAAAAGAAAAGTGTGTTTGCTCAATTTTTTTTACAGATAACAGAGTAGACCATCAGAAGTAAACCTGATTTGAGCAAAGACCACTCAGACAGCCAGCACGGTTTGTTCTGGGCATATTTACCACTTGGCTTCAGGGCTTGTAGGGTGACTGGTGTAAGGCAGGATTCTGAGATTTGGTTGTGGGGAAGAAAGAGAGCACACTTTTGTTTCAGTGTCCGGAAATTGGAAGTTTATGACATGTAAAGTTTGGGCGCCCCCAGGTGTCGCGACTGCAAGCTCGCCGCCACCTCCACCAATACCTAAGCCGTTGCCAATGCTGCTGCCGCCGCCTGTACTGCTTGGTTCTGATCAC